GAACAGAGTGACACAAAAACCTAACTGACAGACGTGATTCGTGACAGTGGGAAAGATTAGTGAAGGTGAAGTTCAAAAAGCTCTGAAAATAATGAAGGGGAAGGCAGTAGGACCTGATGACAAATCAGTGGAGGTTTGGAAATGTCTAGTAGAGAGTGAGGTTTTTAAATCAAATATTCAGTGGCAGGGCAGCACGGTGGCGCAACTGGTAGAGCTGCTGCCTCTCAGCGAACAGGTCCCTGGTTCAAACCCCGGTCCAGGGGCCTTTCTGGGTGGAGTTTGCATGTTCTCTCCGTGCATGCGTGGGTTTTCTCCGGGTACTCCGGTTTCCTCCCACAGACCAAAAACATGCATGTTAGGCTGATTGGTAACTCTAAATTGTCCCTAGGTGTGAGTGAGAGAGTAAATGGTTGTTTGTCTCGTTTGTCTCTATGTGTCCCTGTGATGGACTTGCGACCTGTCCAGGGTGTACCCTGCCCCTCGCACAGTGATTGCTGGACATGGGCACCAGCGACCCCCGTGACCCAAAATGGAATAAACGGGTAAAGAAAATGGATGGATGGATGGATATTCAGTGGCATATTTGAGTGTGAAAAAATGCCTGATAAATAGAGAAGTGGGCTGGTGTCCATTTTTAAGAACAAGGGTGATATACAGAGTTGTAGCAACTACAGGGGAATTAAGTTGATGAGTCACATGATGAAGATGGAGAGAATTGTGGAAGCTAGACTGAGACAAGAGGTAACAATTTCTGAGCAGCAAGAGGGAGTGGTGGTGTAGAGATTAGAGAAGGTGGGCCTGTGATTGGAAGGTCGTCAGTTCAACTCCCTGTATCAACAACATCAAACATGTGGGTACAAAATGTAAAACATCCACACTAGCCTCCACCCTCATTTGCTCCACCCTGAGCCCTTAAGTAAGGCCTTTAACTCCTGGGTGGCCTAGATGGTAGCTCTCTGCTCCACACAGAGAGTTGTGGAAGCTCTGTGGTTGCGTTAGGAAGGACATTAGGCATAAAAGCAATTGCCAAGTCTTTGTGCGAGATTATTTGCTCTGGAGACCCTTGTACAAGAGAGCCGCTGAAGAATAAGAAAAAAATATGGTTTCATGCCAAAAAAGAGCATCACATATGCCCTCTTTGCTTTGAGGATGCTGATGGAGAAGTACAGAGAGGGTCAGAAAGAACTTCAATGTGTTTTTGTGCATTTAGAGTATATGACATTAAGTATATGACATTATATTATACATTATATAACATTAAGTATATGACAGGGTGCCGAGGGAGGAGGTCTGGTATTGCATGAGCAAATCTGGAGTGGAAGAGAAGTATGTTAGACTGGTACAGGAAATGTAGGAGGACAGCAGGACAATGGTGATATGTCCTGTAGGAGTGACAGATAGCTTCAAGGTGGAGGTGGGATTGCATCAAGGATCGGCTCTGAGACCCTTCTTGTTTGCTCTGGTAATGGACAGACTAACAGATGAGGCCAGGCAGGTATCCCCGTGGACTATGATGTTTGCAGATGACATTGTGATCTGTGGTGAGAACAGGGAGGAGGAGGACTTAGATATGTGGCGGTATGCACTTCAAAGAAGAGGATTGAACATCAGCCATAGTAAGACAGAGTACATGTGTGAATGAGAGAGAGACAGGTGGAACAGTGAGTCTACAAGGAGTAGAGGTCACAAAGATGCAGGACTTCAAGTACTTAGGGTCAACTGCAGTGGGGGCTGGCCAATAGAGGGTGCAAAGGCGCCGCCCCACCACTCACCACATTACTTTTAAGACAAAGTAAATAAATAAATAAAAATGAAATAAAAAATTTCAAAATATGTTTATATATATTTTTAGTTGTGTAAGAAATATTTTATAGTTATGATGAGTAAAGTTGTTTTGTTCATCGACGCGTTGTCTGATTCGTGACGTATTTCCGCCATGGGGCACAAAAATTTTTGCACAAAGACTCTTGTTAAAAGTTGCACATGCACAGTAGCTCCTCATCAACATAAGAGATCAGACCATTCTAGGGCACACCTCCCCCAGGAGAAAACTCGACCAGTTCCCACTGGTCAACTGTAAATAAAAGGTTCAGAAGTGATTTACGACAAAAGAGTGGTTGAAAAGTTCAAAGGAAAAGTTTACAAGACAGTTGTGAGACCAGCTATGTTGTATGGTATAGAGATAGTGGCACGGACCAAAGACAGAAGCAGAAATGAAGATGTTGAAATTCTCCATAGGAGTGACAAAGATGGATAAGATTAGGAATGAGATAATCAGAGGTACAGCATAAGTTAACAACTGGGAAATAAAGTTAGAGGCCAAACTGAGATGGTTTGGACATGTCCAGAGGAGGGACAGTGGGTATATTGATAGAAGTATGTAAGAAATGCAGTCACCAGAAAAAAGACAAAGATGACATACGTATATGGATGCAATTAGAGAGGACATGGAGGTAGTTGGAGTGAGGAAAGAACATGCAGAGAGGGAGATGGAAGAGGATGACTCGTTGCCCCCCACCCCCAACCACTGAGGGAAAAGCCAGAAGAAGAAAAGTCCTTGATCAATGCCATATTACTGAACTTTTATTTTGTGAATTTGTTATGCTTACACACCTTTTTATCCAGTTCATCCAGATAGCAGTCCACAAAATCTCGCGGCTCACCGGGGGTTCTGGTTTTCTTGTGCTCGTTCACCACACGAGTTGAAAACCTCAGAAACATCTATAACACATATTGTAGCTTCAATTAATAATAATGTGTAAACCTGATTCTCTTGGCTTATGGGTTTGGACTGTTATTAATTTACCTCCATGTTTTTGAAGGCCTTGTTGAAGGGCAGCGGCAGGTAAGAAACTAAAGGAATGGAGTCATACAGCTGAGGAAAGATGGATTGATGCAGGTTAAATAACAAAGTGGAGATTTTGTTCTGTTTGATCTGAGTCAAAACTACAAGGATATACTGCAGATGATATGGTTTGGTTTTATGGATTCAAGCAAGACGTCAGACAACAGGAATGATTTAAAGGTTTTATTTATAAAATGCTGCTGGTGGTGGTCAAAATCCTGGAGCGAGCCCAATCTGTAGAGATACGTAAGGTTAGCAGACTGGCAGTTTATGTGAGCAGGCAGATCAACAGAATGACGGCCACTAGCCTTCTTATGTAGAAAAGGTGAGCGTTTCCTGGAGGGGTCGGGCAGGATGAAGTCACTGTAGCAGACAGGTGTACAGCTGAAGTTATGGTTGGAGCAGAACGTGGTCCAAACTAAAGTCCAGGGAAGAGTCAGACGGAGAGCAGGGGGTTGATACCAGTGAGTCAGAGGTCCAAGAATTCCAAAAGGAGAATCTGTGAGGTGTAGTAATTAATCCAGAAAGGTGGGTCGATACCATGGTCAGATGGGTGATAAGGCAACAGGCAAGGAGCAGTAAGGTCAAGAATCCAAAAGACAGGCGTGGGGTTGAGACTAGTGATGGTAGTATGAAACAAAAGCTTCCAAACATGCTTCGAACCATACATCCATCCATTACCTTCCGCTTATTCCAACGTCGGGTCGCGGGGGCAGTAGCTTGAGCAGGGAGGCCCAGACATCTCTTTCCACAGTCACCTCCTCCAGCTCTTCTGGAAGGATTCCAAGGCGTTCCCAGGCCAACCGAGAGATATAGTCTCTCCAGCGTGTCCTGGGTCTTCCCTGGGGTCTCCTCCCAGTTGGACATGCCCGAAGCACCTCTCTAGGGAGGTGCCCAGGGTGCATCATTACCAGATGCCCGAACCACCTCAACTGGCTCCTCTCGACGTGGAGGAGTAGCGGTTCTACTCCGAGTCTCTCCTGGATAACTGAACTTCTCACCCTATCTCTAAGGGAGGGTCCAGCTACCCTGCAGAGAAAACGCATTTCAACCGCCTGTATTCGCAATCTCATTCTTTCGGTCACTACCCAGAGCTCATGACCATAGGTGAGGGTAGCAACATAGACCGACCGGTAAACAGAGAGCTTTGCCTTACAGCTCAGTTCTCTCTTCACGACAACAGACCAGTACAGAATTTGCAATACTGCAGATGCTACACCAATCCGTCTGACAACCTCGTGCTCCATTCTTCCCTCACTCGTGAACAAAGTAAAATTACATCGGAGCACTGCTTCGGAGCCTGTTTTGGTGCAGAAGAAGTCACGTGACACGTGACGTCCGAAACACAAATTGTTTTGTTGTCGAAATGAATCGCTTGACCAGTTCGCAGTCCAGTCAGCTGATGGCATCGCCTTGTCTCGATTCTGACAGGTGACAGGTTGAGACAGTTTTGAATTGAGAGTGCTCAAGACTATGAAACAGCTCTACAATGTTTGCAATGTGTTGGGAGTTTTTGCTGTTGTGTTGTTCATAATGTTGAAATTGAGCAATTGGAGCCAGCCAGGAAACGAGGTCATTCTAACATGTGGGAACACTTCATTCTGCTCATGATAAGGTGGTTTTGGCATTTAAATGTCAAAAAAGTTATAGTAATGTTCAGCATATTATCCACCCCTTCTAACTCATGTATTTATTTATTTTTTTCTTCTTTCGGTTGCTCCCTTCTTCAGGGGTCGCCACAATGAACTAAGTCGCACGAAGACTTGGCAGTTATTTCTACGCCGGATATATATATATATATATATATATATATGTATGTATGCATATTGTGTATTTTGTGAAAATCATTAAAACACTTCTTTAAGTGTTCTTTATCAGACAAACATATATATTCAGAATACTTGTATGAACAGAAACTAACAAGGAACTTGACATCCCTTGCCTTGACAAGGGTTACCGGGACCCCACCCTTAAACCAAGCCTGAGGGAGGAGCTTGTTGTTGTGAGCCTGGTGAAGAGCCCTCAGGCTCAGCCCAAACACAGTAAGTTACATGGGTTTGCCTCTCCATGGGCCCACCAAAATTTTCTAAAAATGTCTCTTGAGACATAAAATGTCACCTCTCTGGTGATGAAGGAGCCTGAGCTTGTACTTGAGGTTGAGAGACCCCGACTTGATATACGGCGCTTTGCCACTGTCTCAACTCTCCTCAGGTCTGCACAATACATCACCAGTTAAAGGCCTCTCCACCATCAGTGCACACCACCACTCAGCTCGATTGATCAAAATCAGAATCAGAATATGGGACCACTTTGTTTGAGGTTCAAAGTGGGCTGCTCCGAGGGGCCAATTTTGATGTAAGGCAACAGCAACCATCGATTGGCCAGCAGAGCTACATCACTGGATTTCCTGCACAGTAAAACTGCAAAGTACATCTGCACCCCCACTTCCTGATCGTGTTGACGCATGGCACCACAAGAACTGAGCGCATTTACAGAGAGATGCCAAAGATGATGGCACAGCATGGCTACACCCAGACTTATAAGCAGTGTGGCGATAAGGAAATTAAATTCAAGTCTGATTACAGGAAAGAGAGACTTGAAGTAGAACTGCTGCTCCTCCCCATTGAGTGGAGGCAGTTGAAGTGGTTTGCTCTGATTTATGCTCAATAATCCAGGTAGATTAATCTAACATGGTTGAGTCAGGTCCTCTGGACAGATTCTTCTAGTTCCAGATTATCTGACTCAACTTTGTCAAATGTTTGTTTTTTCTGTAAGGATGGCCTCTGCTCAAAATAAAACTTAACATTAACTTAACTAAAACTAAAAGGCTGATGTTAAATACATTAAATCAATCATACATTAAATGATTATCGTATGGTTAATCTCATTTCTGACTCAGAAAAACCTTTTCAGACTCACCATGGCCCACGGTCCATTGGCGATTTTAGTCAGTTCTGTGAAGCACTGGATAATCATTTTGAGCGTCTCATCATCGTACTCATAACGGGTCCCAAACAGAACCTTACAGATGATGTTAGAAGCTGCGTTATGAAACATCACCTGAGGACTCAGAGTTTTACCTGTAGACATCATAACTCAAATTAAAACGTAAAATATCACACCAACAGCACAACTAAAGCTTTAGTTGTATGAGCACAGATTACATACCAACACTATTTTCCAGGGTTTTAATGGTGAACTGAATCTCTTCATGGATTCTCTCCTCCATGGATTTCTTCCCCAGACCAAAGTTTCTCAGAGTCATCAGAGCAAAACGACGGTGGTCCCTCCACACAGAGCCATAATCGACCAGAATCACTCCTAAAAACGACAGAATAACAAAATACAGAAAGAGCTTTAAAAATAATCCTTTAGTGCAGAAATCTGGGGCTATTTGTCTTCATTTACTGTGTCAAAAAATGTGCTGTGTTGCAGATGAGGATGATTCAAGATGGCTGCTGCAGCCAAAACATTTGAAATCTCAAAAGCAGTGGTGAGCACAGGTCTGCTATTCAGCTAACAGCTTTTAGCGGAACTAATGTTTTGTTAAGCAGATTACCGTTTTTGTTAACTTCGGAAACCATTAGCAGAATTAGCTTCCGCTAAATTAGGTTTTGCAAACTTTAAGTCTGCTTACAAAATTCACTAGTTTGTGACAACAGCAACAGTCTGTTGTGGGTGTGCCTCCAAGAGTCATTAAGCTTAATGGCTTACGTGTACACATGACAAGACGTAATTGATTGAGCAGCTTCAACTGATAGGAGTAAGACAATTGTTTAGTTAGCTCTGCAGAAGTATATGTGTTAAGGAGAAAATGGGTCAAAATAAACTGACCACTTCCTTGATTCAAAGCACGGGTTCGTCCGCTATAAATCCCTACATGAATTGAACACACAAAACGGTTTATGTTAAAATCACCATTGAACGTAACCTTTATTGACAATTGTATTAACAACAGTGTTGAAATGTGAATGAATAACCAGTACTATTTTCAGAGAAAATGCATGATGTAAAATAGTTGTTAGCTTTTGTTGTGTTTCTGCTGTGGAAACTGAAATAATGTTATTGCATAGAAAGGGCACCAGAGGGCACTGTCAGACAGTATGTTGAAAAAGATGCTGTACAGAGTGTGAGAGAGAAAAACGAACATAAGGAAGTAAAGAAGGAGAACTAAAGCTGATGCATGTGTCTGCTTATTTTTTACTTTAATTCAATCTTGCACCCCACAACAACTTTGAGGAGAGATGTTATCTAAATTTGGAGCTAACACTTAAAATTAGGTAAACTTTTCTGAGGTTTGTGAACTAAATTAAAAATGTCTACATCTAAGCCGGCTCTATACTTCTTCGTCAGAAGGAAGATGATTTATCCTACCAGCAGCCGTAGCTCTCATTACCAGGTGGACATTTATTCCTAGGTTTACATCCACGTTTATAATTATATTTTCAGGTCTCTCTTGTACATGAGTCCCCGAGGTTCAATGGGATTAACCTGTATAAATATAGGTTGTATGAATATGATGCGAGAGGTGGTTCACACACTGTCCCAGAGAGGGACACCTCTTTCCAGAACCGTATTTCATGGCAAGGCATTTCACTGGCAAGGCAGTGCCTTGTTGCTGCATTGTTCTGTGGTGTTTGAGGAAAATTTCCTGTGGACTTCTCCACATTTCAGCAGGCTACATCCAAGATGGAGGCCATGACGAAGACTACATGGCTCTGAACAAGACTAAACCCATCCTCTGAGTAGCCAGCTTTTAACTCATTTTAGAAGAAAGGGGCATTTACTAGGGTGGCATGGTGGCTCAGTTGGTAGAGCTGTTGTCTCTCAACAAGAAGTTTGCTGGTTCAAATCCCAGCCTGGGACCTTTCTGGGTGGAGTTTGCATGTTCTCTCCGTGCATGCGTGGTTTTTCTCCGAGCACTCCGGTTTCCTCCCACAGACCAAAAACATGCATGTTAGGTCGTTTTTATGTGTCTGTGGGTAAATACATTTGAAACTTGTTTAGAAATTTTGTGGTTGTTGGATTTTTTCCATTTAATGTTGAGGGTGTTAATCACTTCTGTGTTTTACATCCTTTGTGCGGGTTTTGTGTTCAAGGGTAAAACATATAAAATTAAACCTCTTATATGTCAGGCGAGAGACCTGGCTGGCACCCCAAAACCTTGATTTCACATAACCGTTACAGTCTCTATGTGGCCCTGTGATGGACTGGAGACCTGTCCAGGGTGTACCCTGCCCTTCGCACAGTGATTGCTGGACATGGGCACCGGCGACCCCGTGACCCAAATGGAAGAAGTGGGAACCAGCTAGATTGTAAGGTGGTGTAGGATAGTAAAACCAGGAACATGTCTGCATTGGTTTTTGCCATGAACTTAACAGATGTTTAAAGCCACTTAGAGAGGTCAAGGTTGAGAGCATCAGATCTTTTTGCAAGATATTCCAGGAAACAGGAGTGGATTAGGAGAAGGCCCTTTTGTCTAATTTAGTCCTCACTGAGGGGACACTGCATGTAATAATGTCCTGAGAGCGCACGCTGTAGCTGCACTCACGCAGAGACATCTAGGAGGAGATGTATGAAGGCAGCAGACCAAGAAGTGGTTTGAAGATGAAAATGTACCAGTGGGAGAGTCTGCATGAAGTTAATGATGACCAGTTAACCAGTGAATACAGGGTGCAGTGATGGGTACAATAATTACAGCCAGTTATGAATCTTAGCGCGCCATGACGCATTCAATTCGATTTACTGTATATAGTAGCTACATTCAAAGTACATTTCTCAGAAGCTCCGTCTTATTTTAGTACCAGGCAAACCTGATGGCAGTGACAACATCTAAGATCTTTACATACTTAGCCAAACTAACAACCCACACATACAAACGATTAAAAAGCAATATCATACAGGTAACTGTAAAACCTCATATACTGCAATGTGATTTTTAAGATGTGATGCTGAAGTCTTGTAAGCTGCTATCACCGTAGAGATCAAACAAAGTTTGCATCTGGACGCTGTCTCCTTTTCGCCCTCTGTACATGAAAAATTCCTCCAGGTACAACCACGGGCACTCGTCCTCAGCCTTTACCTCCTCATTTTCTCTGTTGACAGTGTTGTCCTCGGTCTCCATTTTGGCTTTTTCTCCAAATCTTTGGTACATAAATGACTCATGACTCTACGGAGTTGTCCTTTGCTTATGTCACAGGTAATTGGTGCGTTCGCGATCTGAGAGCCGTATTGGCTACAAAGATGCAGATGAACGGTTTGAATATTAATTCAAATTGCGGCCGTACTCAGTAGCGACTTCTGATTTTAAAAGTAGTGCAGTAGATTACATGGTCTAAATTGTACTTAAGTATGAGTAAAATTCCACACTTGAAAGAAATGCTCATAAAAGTACCCCAAAAATCTACTTAATTACAGTAATATGCGTATAATTTGTTACTTCCATCCCTGGTGTTTACTTAAGATTCCATCCAGTCAGGGCTTGACCTACGCAGTGGGTGCATTATTTAGCTGCATACATTAATTTAGGACAGATAAATCACCTCCTCTCAATGTCTGAAAAAACAATAATTTTACTTTCTTTAATGAATAACTTGTACCTTATTATTTAAACACATCAGTAACCACATATGTAATATATTTACTTACATGAAACACACAACTTTGCACATGTTGGAATGTTTTTAATTATTGCATTCTGTTTTGATTTACATCTAAAGCATCAGCCAAACTTTTTCATTGTACTGTTTATTTGGTCTTCTAAGGACCTTCTCCTACTCCGCTCCTGTAACCTGAAATTCTTTGCAAAACAATCTGAAGCTGTCTACATTGACCTCTAAGGGATTTTAAACAATTGTTAAGTTCATTGTAAAAATCAATGCAGACATGTTCCTGTTTTTAGTATTTTTTTCTTGTTTCATAATGTAGCTTGTTTTTATTTTGTTTTATATCACTACTTTAAATTACTTTTCATTTTACATACTTTTTATGACTGTTTATTGTTGTCTGTACCTTATCTGTGTTTTTTGTTTAAAACAGGTCTCTCTTGAAAATGAGTCCTCATGAGACTAAACCGTATAAATAAAAGTTGAATGAAAAAAAAACAACTAAAAATTATCTTTTCAGAAAAATGCACTCCACCTTTATTTTGAGTGAGATGGTTGATAAACAGATCTTGAGGTCGTCCAGCGAAGTCTGTGGCCTTGATCACTATGGCCTCCTTCATGGTCTTAAACCCATTGATAACCACAGCTGATTTGGAACCAAGAAACAGGCTGTAGACATTGCCATAGGACTGTCTCAGCTGCAAGAAAAAACAAATAAATTTTTAAAGTAGTCCATCATATCTTATTCTATTTTTTTTTTCTGTTCATCCATTTTCTGCCGCTTGTTCACAAGTCACAGGTGCAGCAACTTGAACAGGAAGGTTTAGACAGAGATACATGTCTCTCGGTAGAGATGCTGTCTCTGCAGCATCTTCTAGGCCTTCCCCAAGGTCCCTTTCCAGTTGGACAAGCCCAGAAAATCTCCCTAGGGAGGCATCCAGAGGGCATATATACCAGATGCCACCTCAGCTGGTTCCTTTCACTCAACCACTCAGCTCTAGTGCAAATCTCTCCCAGATAACCGAACTTCTTCCCCTATTTCTACAAGTGCTATGTGTTGTCTTTATTCTATGTTCCCAAGACAAAATTAGTTATCTGCATTTAACCCATCACATGTGAGATACACTGAGGTGGAGCAGTGGGAAGCTATGTAAGCATAATCTGAGGCGCAATTAGAGATTATGTGTCTTGCTCAAGACATGCCATGCCAAGATAAGAAATGCCCATGACATGTGGGCAATTTTCTGGTACCAAGTCAGCTGCTCTACCTCTGCACCATCTTGATCCCTCTCTAATGGAGAGTCCAGCTACCCTCAAGAGAAAACTCATTTTGCACTTTGGTTGGCCTTGTAGCTGTTTTAAGTGCTTTATAAATAAAGTGGTATGGTATGGTATGGTATGGTATGGTATGGTATTTTGACCACTTGTAGTCACGATAAATAGGTTTTTCACCATAGGTAAGGTTAGGGACGGACCAACTGCTATGTAACTCAGCTTCTCTATGGAAGATGTGCTGGTCGGATTGAGACGGCCTGAATAGTATTCATTCCATTGTTGGTGGGTCACAATGTTGTTAAAGTGCTGCTTGTCCCGTCTCAGCCACCTGATGATTTGCCAAAATCTTCTCAGCTGCTGATCGTCTTTATCGAAGTCCTCTTCAAACTCCTCATGCATTCAAGCACTTTCCCCAGCAAGCGCCAAGGCTTCAGCCTGCTTGACCTATCTCTCAGCTGCATCTGGAGTTCTACCAGCCAACACAACCTGATAAGACTCCCATCTCAGCTGTACCGCCTCCCTCATTCGAGTATCCACCACCGGGTGTAAGGATGGTTGCTGTGGGAGTAAGTAACCTTGTGGCCACAGCTCAAGTCAGCCATCTCAAAAATTAAAGCATGGAAGATGGCCCACTCAGACTCAATGCCCCTGCCTTCACTGGGATGTAGTTCTCTCTGAGATGTGAGTTCAAGATTCTTCTGACTGGTTCTTCTGCCAGGCATTCCCAACAAACTTCACTCTGCATTTAGGTCTACCGAGTCTGTTCAGCATATCCCCCCACCACTCGATCCAGCTAACTACCAGGTGGTGATCAGTTGACAGCTCACCTTCTCCCCCCCCCCCCCCCCCCCCCCCGAGTGTACAAAACATAAGGCCACAGATCAGATGACATGACTACAAAGTCTATCATTGATCTGAGGCCTAGGGTGTCCTGGTGCCAAGTGCCCTTATGGACACCATTATGTTCAAACATAGTGTTTGTGATAGACAAACGATAACCAGCACAGATGTCCAACAACGGAACACCACCTGGGTTTAGGTCAAAGAGGCCGTTCCTCAATCACACACCTCTAGGTCAAGCTGTCACTATCCACGTCAATGTCGATGTCAATTTTTAAAGATCAAACATTAAAAACCACAAGTAAAATAAAAAAAGGCTAAGAACAAACTAAAACAAGAAAATAGCACACCTAAAATTTTCTGATGGAACACGATTTTGAATTAAATGCCAATGTGAAAATTGTGAGTTTTTAGTCGGGATTTAAAGGACTGTATGGATTCTACAGCATAAATATCAATGGACAGGGAGTTCCAGAGTCTGAGGGCCTGATCCCCTCAATGCTGTATTTTAGCCCTTGGCTGCACTAAAAGCATCCGACTAGAGGATTTCAGTGCTCTGTTTGGATTGTAATGTGTGAAAGATCCATAAAATAACTGGGTGCCAAGCCATTTAAATTTTTTAATTCAATTCAACACAATTCAATTCAGTATAACTTTATTGTCCATAACATTCCATGAAATGGAGATTTTATCTTTGACATCTGGCTCATAAAAAACAATACAAGATAAAAATGTCATAAAACATATAAAAAGCTTTGTTACCCCCCCGCAAAATAAAAAAACATTCTAAAATACATGATACATTAAAAATATGAAATCATCTAAGCAGACAATGGTTTGTAATGTGAGGCTGCGTTTAAATAGGACTATTAAGGACACTCACAGCAGAGGAAACAAATGACTTTTTGTACCCATTTTTCATTACCAGAGGAACCACCAGTCTTCTGCCAGATGGGACCAACCTGAATGATGGTTGCAGTGGATGAGTTGGGTCGTTGTAAACCTGTATTGCCTTTTTTCCCCCAGAATCTGACTGTACAGGTCTGTAAGTTTCCTTTGTTGATGACCAATGACTTTACTACCTTGTTTGACCACCTGGGACTTGTTCCTGTCTCTGTCTAGGACGTTCCCATATCACGAGACAATATTAAAGGGAACAACACTTTCAAACAGTAACTTCTACACCAACTGTAAAGTAATTTTGCTTGCATTAAAGCTCCCTAGCTCATATAGAAGGTGGAGACGCTGCCAGGCTTTTTTGTAAATATAATCAGTGTTGGGCTCAAAGGTCAACTTGTTATCAATTTTTGTTCCAAGGTACACATATTTAAATTCAGTCACCTGCTCTACTTCCTGCCCTTTATAGCAGAAGGTCTGAATACAGATCTGGTGCTGGCTGCTTCCCATCTACCTCCCAAACAAAGTTCATTGGTTTTACTGACACTAAGGTCCAGAAAACTGTCATCAAACCAGGCAGAGAGTTGATCTATGAGTTGGGAGTAGAAGTTTCAGACCAACCACTAGTGCCATATCATCAGCATACTTAATAATACTTTATTTATAAAGCCCTTTAAAACAACCACAGCTGCAACAAAGTGCTGTACACATAAAATCAAGAACATTTAAGCACATAAAAAATAAAACAGTTGTTAAAACATTAAGATCAATAGAAACAATAAAAACTGTGCAGAGCAGATTCAGTCTGTGCTAAAAGCCAGGGAGTAAAAATTTGTTTTTAAAAGATTTTTAAAACTAGACAGTGAAGGAGCTCGTCTAATGGGAAGAGGGAGATTCTTTCATAGTCTTGGAGCAGCGACAGAAAAAGCTCTGTCTTCTTTGAGACTCCGTTTGGACCTCAGCACCTCCAGCAGCAGCTGATCAGCTGATCTGAGGCACCAAGCAGGAGAGTATGGGTGAAGCAGCTCAGAGAGGTAGGATGGAGCAAGACCATTTAAACTTTTAAAAACAAATAAATCAAATAATTAAGTTAATTAAATTAATTAAGTAACAGAGGGTGAAGTGGGGCAGAGATCTGATTTAAGAAAAACTACTTGGATGTTGTCAGCGTAGCAATGAAAATAACTGTTGTGCTTTCTAAAATGTGATCCCAAAGGCAGCAAGTATAAACAGAACAAAATAGGACCCAAAATGAACCCTTGAGGTACACCACAACAAATAGATGCCGAGGAAGAAGAATATTCCCCCATGGAAACAGAAAAAGACCTGTCAGCTAAATAAGACTTGAACCACTTGAAAACTAAGCCTTTAAGACGAACAATATGTTCAGGTTTTGATTAAAGGATACTGCGATCGACCGTAATGGCTGTGAGTTCCTTGTTCTCTCTCTGTACAAATATTCTGATTCGCCCTGGTCTGTCACCTAGGACCAATTTGCTTTGGGAAACCCTTCCAGGGGCAATTGCCCCCAACTGCATAGCTCCTAGGATCATTCAGTTTCACGACCACCACGATAAGGGGGGAAATCACAGAGAAGTAAGTATTATTCTGCTTTTAAGAAAATTAAACATCTAATTACAAAATTAACCATTTATCATTGTGGCAAACAATTCATAAAATCTGTTAAAGGTAGTTCACTACATCATAAAATTACAGTTTGTATAAAGTTGTCCAGCTGAGCTAGAAAATTGACTTGAAACTTTTATATCTCTCTTTGTATATTAAGGTCAGTGTATTTAATTAAATATCATTGTTTGCAATTTGACAATTTCTTGTTATTCATTTCCCTGAAAACAGAATCTATAAACAGAATGATTAAAACTGAGTGCGAGACCAAAAAAAAAAAAAAAACCCAGTTAATATCAAATCAAACACAGTTATCTGTGGGAATAAAACAAAATGGTTCGAGGCACTATCTCTTTGCTTTGTTGGTCATGTAGATAAACGTTACGTAAGTGTTATTTATTGCATAATTCAGAATATAAAGTATTCAGTAAACAATAATTCAGACCATATTTAAAATTTCTTACAAAACCTTTTTCAATCATAAATAAAACTTTGAAACATGTGTGATGAGGAATAAATTTTCATGACGATATTTTATTTAGCTACATGAATTTCTCTGTTATATGCTGACTAATCAATGGAGGTGAACAGAGTTCATTTGGACCTGTAATACAGGTGGAACACAGCTTGGGAACACTGTCTCCATAAAAAATATTAAAGGATCTATTATATATCATTCAAGTTTGAAATGATATATCAAAGAAAAAAATTATATAATTTGCTATCCTTACCTTCTCAAAGTCCTTCAATGGGTTCTTTGAGATCAGGTACCACAGGTTCCCCAGTACCGGCAGTATGGGGGGTCCTGGGGGAAAGTTCTTGGGTCTCCGAGGTTTGAGTTGAAAGAGGAGGAAGAAAAAACAGAGCCACAGCAGAACTATGGAGATGAACATGATGACAGTTTGGGCAGGACTGAACTGAAGAGGGAAGGTGGCAGCTCAGCTCAGTCTGCTCCGGTCCTGTACTTTGACTCTTTCTTTTAATAGTGAGAACATCAAATAAATAACTTACCGTGGCCAACAGGTGCAAATGCGCCACAAACACATGAATGATGCAAACTCCAAAACCCCACAAACAAAAGAAATGCAACAGAAAAATCAATCTGGAACCAGACCGTGTAAAGATGTTATAGCTGAGCAGCCACTGGCCAAAAAGTGGCTTATTTTAGGAGTTTAATGCAAACAGAGTATTTAAAGCTTCAACCTATTTTATTTAAAAGAGAAATGTTTTCTGGGTATTTGAAGCCTGGCTGTAATTGTCTTGAAAAGGAAGATACCACCAATAGTTTATTGCAAAACCCTCAATATCTCTGTCTGGGTTATGTAAAGTACCAAGAGTATCTTAAGAACATAATTTCTGTCCTACTGTATCCATTATACATAGTATATGTTTACTTCATAAAGATTAGTGAACTTGGTTGAAAATATTTGGAATTATAGTTGCCTGTTTTGTCAACCGCTAGAAATATTTTGTACTTACCCAGACACCAATATCAGTGGTGTAGACACAGACTATACACTACAATTAGTGGGAGTATTGGTAGGTCTTAGCAGTATACCAAACCATCTTAATTGGATTTGCCCTCTAATTCAGAAAAAAATCATACTTTGGCAAAACTTTTCTCATTCTTCTTTTTTCATGTTTATCTTGTTATTTATTTCTGTTTCACGTTTGGAGCCTTGTTTCTATATTTTGTTGCATGCTTTGAATAAATCCCATTTTATGTTAGTTTTAGGGTCGGCTCTGAGTCCGACTCCGCTCGCATTGAGCGTGTAAATTATAGCCGTACTGAACCTTTGAGAAGCGTGCTGCTGTTGTTCGGTGTATTGTTTTGCACTGTTAGTGTTTAGCATACATCTTGGATCTTTTAGCATACCACTGGGTGTTCGTTCAGCATATATCTTAGTTTATATCTTAGATACTTATTTACTGTTTCTTCTTACAGTTTATATTTTTGATATTATGTAACTGGGACCCAGTGTACACAATATCATTCCACCTCATGTATCACATGCGATGCAAATGACAATAAAGAATCTTGAATCCTTTTGTTGTTTTTGGTTTTACATGACTTAAAGCCATTCTCTTACCAATGCTTAGCTTTCCGCCTTACCTTTAACAGTAGCTACTTTTTGTTTAAACCTCACTTTGGTTGAGAGATTTTAAATTTCCTCGCATACCATGAAAGTATTATGACTTTAGAAAGTGGTCACTCAGCTGTGAAGTGTTTAGGGTTTGGTCCCAGATGACGTGGTGGTCCAGTCCCCCTCCTGGTCTGGTGCACTTCTGTTTTGAGGAGTTTTGAGAGTTTCTTATTTGCAGTTGTTTGGGGAGTTTTAATATTTTAACCATTTGCAGCATTTTTCCTTTGCATTTTTTTGTTGTTGTTGTTTGTTTCTTCTTCTATTTTCTGTGATTGCAGAATTTTTCTTTTGCAGCATTTTTCTGTTGCATTTTTTTTTTTTTTAGAGTTTCTGTTCTGTTTTGGACTTTGCATCATTCTTGTGTTTGCACCTGAAGGCCACGTAAACATTACTTGTTTAAAGAAACAGGAGATGAAATTTGACTGTGGCATGGGGGGTATACTGATTTTTCTTCTTCTTCATGTAGAGTTTTATGGTCGTTAGCAAACAACGGAAGGTGTGCATTACCCCCACCAACTGATTTGGAGTGTGGATCAAAATGTCTATATTTAGTCTGCAGTCATGATTATGTTCGATTTTATTAACTTTGTGTTTCCACCTCTCTAAGTTCTCTTCCACCTGTTCCCTGTTCTCACCACAGATTGTCATCTGCAAACATCAATCCTTGATGCAATTCCACCTCCACCTTGAAGCTATCTGTCACTACAGCACATCTCACCACTGTCCTGCTGTCCTCATGCATTACGTGCTGTACCAGTCTAACATTCTTCTCTGACACTCCAGATTTCCCCAAGTAATACCACAGCTCCTACTTGGGAATACTCTCACTTGATCTAAATCCTTCCAGAAATGATCCTTCTCCTCTACACCACATCCAATCTGTGGAGTATAACCATGGACTACGTTCATCATCTGACCTTCTGCTTTTAACTTCAGACACATCATCCTCTCTGACACCCTTTTCACCTCTACTACATTCTTTGCCAATTCTTCCTCAGGATCACCCATACGCTATTTCTCTTCCTAGCCCTATAAACAACTTAAAACATGCTATAATGCTGCATGCCTAGCAAGATTTATAGTTTATATTCCTGTGGTTTGTTTTGGTCTGTTCCTCTCTTCCATTGTGCCACCAGTTCATTTTCCCATTGCTTCTTCTCAGTTAGTTTATGTTCTGGTCTACCCACCTTTGCACGTTACCTGTTACCATCAAGTCACCTGTTTCCAATTATCTATTCAGTCACAGCCTTCTTAATTTCATTTTCCTAGTTTATCTGCTGTCTAACATTTTGTGACTCATGCCGTGCGATTCCACTCCATGACTCCTGGAGTTTTGCAATATTTTTGTCTTGCTTGTTTTGTTTTCTGTTTAATAAAACCGTAAGTTTTTATTTGAACACTCTCCTGTTTGCATTCCTGGGTCCAACACTTTAAAACTTGATATTAAACAAAACTTGGTGTTATAGTAGATGTGAGTCATTCCCAACAAATGCTCCAAGGGCTAACAGATCATGTTGGATTTAACAGTTTTGAGTGAGATTGTGCATAACGTTGTCAGAACTAGTCAATACCTTTAAGTAATTAAAAAAGTCAGATCTTCAATCTTTCGGGATTTTTAGGATTCTTTAATAAAGAACAAACAGTGAGCACTAACAGTGACAGAGCAATATTGCAGCATTGTTGTAAGCAATAATAATCAGTCATCAATCAGCAAGAAGAGACTGAATCGTTTAGTCTGATAGGAATGTTGATGGATGAAAGGCTGAATGGATGGAAGGAAGGGAAGCCGTGCACATGCAGTCTGTGACCAAACCATTGAACTGTTCATAAATATATGGATCAACAGGACTAAAATCTTTATACAAGTGTAATTTTTAATCATTGTACACAACCTAACCCTTGTGAAGAATATGACTAGACTTGATTTTTAAATGTATCTTCTGGTCACAGCTGTGTACATGATAAAATATCTGAGACAAAGTTTAGATTTTTCTTGAAGTTTCTGAATTTTTGTCAACACAACAGTTGTGACCATATGACACAACTATTGATGAATTGTTTAGTTCTTTCATCTGTTTCTGCAGAGCCTCTTCGCACCACTTCACTGCTTGGACCTCAGCTGGACCTCCATGTTGTAAGGCTTTGGACTCAAAGTTGCCCCAAAAACTGGAGTGAAGTCTGGTTCTCCAGCATCCTCCGGCCAGATGAACTTAAACGTCCTCAGCAGGGTCACCGTCATGAGGAAGAGCTCCATACGGGCCAGACCCTCTCCAGGACACATCCGAGGACCTCAGACAAAAGAAAGAACCTTACCTTTTCTGTGACTGTTTAATCTAACAAACTTTATTTCTATAAATTTGAGATTCCGGGTCTGAAAAAAACATTTTACAGTTCTACCTGCAGAGAAAGGCAGGAAGGCCTCTGGTTTGACAAACTCTCCCTGCTCATTTAAGAAGTTTTCAGGATCAAACTCTTGAGGAAATTTCCACTGACCCTCCTCCTTCAACACTGATGTCAAGTTCTGGATGATGATTGTATTCTGAAACAAACCCCAAAGGATAAAACATAAGACCATAATAGTTTTTTAAGTGTATCCAGTACTAAAAAGCAACGCCTCTCACCCTGGGAATAGAATATCCCATCAGTTCTGTGTCTTTTGTCGTGCAGTGGAAGGTGCTGAGAGGAACGATGTTGGCAACTCTCTGGATTTCATGGATCACAGCCTGGATGAAGAGTGATATTACAATCTCCATCTGTCTTGATTGCTAATTAAATTAATTTATACCTCAAAGGAAAGAAAAAAAAATACAAACCATAAAAGTTGCGGTTTACCCACCTTAAACATGACAACATCCAGGACAATGACCTAATAGTGAATTTTCTCTGCAGACAGATACACATCACTCTAAAACATTTAAATTATCAGGCTAAGTGTGTGTGATGATGCACATCACCTGCACATATGGCATGTTGTGTCTGTCCTCAAATGTGACACGATCCTTTCCTTCCAAAACCCGGTCGATCTCCTCCTGACATCTATCTAAAGAGGGGAAAAAGAGAAATAACAGAAAAACGACACTGAAAATGTGTCAAAGTGAAGCATTTTCTGGCCTAAAGTGGCTTTGGCTCTTGTGGAACCAAATTCCAGTTTCTGTCCTTAAGGCTGACACATTGTCCAGTTTTAAGATTGGGCTTAAGACTTTCCATTTTGATAAATCCTATAGTTAGGGTTGGATTGCTATGCTGCTTTAAACTTAGACTACTAGAGGACAACATGACCTAATTTCCTTAAATGATTTGCTAAAATTGAATAGTTTTCATTGTCATTATTTCTATCTTAAAATGTGATTCTTGACCTGCCATTGTGTATCTGTTCCTCTCAAACCCAGCCGGTCGAAGCAGATGGCCGCTTGTCCTGAGCCTGGCTCTGCTAAAGGTTTCGTCCTCATGAGGGAATTTTTACTTTCCACTGTCGCCTTCGTGCTTGCTCAATATGAGAGTTCTGTGATGGAGTTAAACTCAAAGCAGTCTGGTTCTCAGATAAATAATGTTAACTTATTATTTTTATATATGAATGTGTCTGTTCAGTGCCCTGAGATGACTTCCGTTGTGACTTGGCGCTATATAAATAAACTGAACTGAAATGAATTAACACGTGAAAAACACACCCATCCAAAACAATCAATCTTCATGTACTTCATGTACAATCAAATGTTTTAGGACAGATGACCAACTTACTACTCACAGAAACAGCCTGAGGACAACCAAGGCCAAAGTGGTTCAGAAAAAGGGTTGTAAGCTCATTCATACAGGTAGACAACAAAAAAGGTTAAATCGTCCTCTGGATGGGGGATGAAACGTTTCTCACTTAAAGAACCTGGTCCAGATGACACGATTTAACCCTTTTGTTGTTACATAGCCAGACTTGTTTTTTTGAGGTTTATGAAATTCTGGGAACTTGTGCTTCCAGGTCGGGGACATTGAATCCACAGACCACGTGCAAGGCCTTGATTCCTGGAGCTGTGGCTCGAAGATCACTGGTGCCAGTCGCAATATCAACTGGCATCCCGCTTCATGCTGAAGGGTCTGCTTGTTTCAGAGAGCTCCTGAAGCAGAATGACCAGAAGGACAGCGTCTTTCTTGGGTTGCTGATGCAAAAACTCTTACATGAGATGGAAGTCAGCTCCTTGAAGTTCGAGGCCATGACTCTCAAATGCTCTGAGTCAGAGCTGGGTTTCTGAATCAATCAGAGGAGATCAAGTTTCTGAGAGTGTTGTTCAAGAGGGACCAGGAGATAGACCTGAGGGAATTAGGGAGTTGCTCCAGTCTGTTGTGTTGCCAAAGGGACTTAGCTGGTCTGTCTACACTTCATTCCCTCACCTGTGATCATGACCGGAACAATGGGATCCAGGATACTAGCAGCTAAAATGAGCCTCCTCTGTATACGTTTTAGACTCAGCCTAGAAGATAAGGTGAGAAGCTCCATCACCTGAAGGAGCTTGAAGTAGAGCTGCTCATTCTCAGTGAAAAGTGTTGTTCATATATCTGATTATGCCTCCCTCTGGAGGTTTTCTGAAAACCAAGCACTCAGCACTCTGCAGGGACTAGTAATCCTCTCTGGTCTGGAAACACCTCGTGGTCCCTCAGAAGGAGCTGGATAGTATCACTGCAGAGAGAGAGAGAGCTCTGAATTTCCTTTCTGGTCTTGTTACTTCCATGACGCAACCATAGATGGTTGAATGGACAAGTTTTTTTATTTTGTATTAACACTTGTGGAAATTCTGTGTGATCTAAAACAATGCTTTCCAGGTTTTAATTCTTAAGCTATTCCATAGATATAAATAACATAGAATATAACCAAATACTCTGATTTTCAGCAGACACTCATCTCAAAAACGACAAACATTCACCATTTAAATTCCTCAGCAATGGGGACATTGGCATACCGCTGGGAATTCTAGAGAAGTGTCTGGATCCACTGAAACATTTAGACCATGTCCTGTCCTTGGAGCCTAAAATCAGTTTTCATGAATAAAACTGTTTAATTTTGTTACTTTTCTTCATGGAGTTCTTTGGCTCCAAATCTTGTGGACCAATACAACATTTTAATGGGAAAAAAGCAAACGATTATATTTTACGACAGTAAAGTATGTTTTCTGTGCAGAGGCATACCTTGTATATGAGGATAGTTTGTGAGGTACAGAAACCCAGTTAGGAGAGTGCTGGACACGGTGTCGGTCCCAGCAAGATACAGATCAAAGTTGATCCTTCTGAGTTGTTCCTCAGAAAAAAACGAATCCTCTCTTTTCTGAACAAAAAAACGATACAAGAGAAATTAGACGTTGTTATATTCAAACCTCTGAGCCAGTTGTGGTTTCACACCTTGTCCAGTTCATCCAGGTAGCAGTCGACAAAATCTCGTGGCTCTCCGGGGATTCTGCTCTCCTTGTGCTCGTTGACAAAACGGGTTGATATACTCAGAAAAGTCTCAAATAAACACGACAAACCGATTATTAAACACAGTCAATAACCTCAGTTCATTCGTTATTTGTGGTTTTAACTTTACCTCCATGTTTTCAAAGGCTTTGTTGAAGGGAAGTGGTAGGTGACGGACTAAAGGAACAGAATCGTACAACTGCAAAGACAAATAAAAGTTTTTGGTTAAATGTACAACTTACTTTGATTAGTCAGGACTTCACTGCCGGGATAAAATGCTGAGCTCAGTCAGGATGTTTGTTTGATCACCGACAGGTACATTAACCAATCAGAATGCTTAAGCAAAGTGGGTGGGACCAAAACCTGGGGCTCTGAATCTACAGGAAGGCCTTGCAGGCATTTATTTATTTATTTACTTATTTATTTATTTAATTTACCATGTTAAGGTTTTTGATGCATTCAGTTGCAACATGTAATTTCAAAATTTTACAGAAATTGTAGCTACTCTAATAAAACTGAAGGCCATCTAAGTTTACACTGATCATTTTCAGTATTAGTTGTATTCTGGTTTCATTAAACAATCTGATTGCGTGAATTTTACAAAAATGGTAAGATCTGTGGGTTACTGTTACATCTAAGTGTGAATTACTGAAATTAGATGTTGTACTTGAATTGTTGAAAACTGAATTGTTTTTGTATTATTAGTGCTTAGCGTATTTCTTAGTTCATATGTTAGATCTTATCACTGCTTTTCGTTACAATTTATACTTTTGTTGGATGTAACTGGGGCCCTGTGTACTTAATTTCGTTCCACCACATATAACACATGTGATGTGAATGACAATAAAGAAACTTTGACTTTGACTTTTGAATGTAGGTGAGCCACAGGATCTTTTAGGTAATCTTAGAACAGAAGTGGGTAGAATTAGTCATGTTATGTGTTGGTGTTAGTGACTGTTTAAAAATGACACCATGAGCCAGATGTTGTAACTGATGGATAAAAATGGAGAAACCCTTCCTGCCAGTGAGTCATGACATTTACTTGATTGTATTTACTTTGTGCCTAAAAGTTTATCTTTTTAATTCATAATATCACCGTTTTGATTAACATAAAAAAAGTACATATACTCACCATGGCCCACAGCCCGTTGACTGTTTTATTTATCTCGGTGAAACACCGAATGATCACTCTGATCGTCTCGTCATCGTACTCATAACGAGTCCCAAACAGAACCTTACAGATGATGTTGGAGGTTGCAAAGTGAAACATCACCTGAGGACTTAGAGTTTTGCCTGGAAACGACGTGAAGAAAAGACAAGAACATCACATCGACTGCAGAATAAAGGGTTTAGTTAACATCAGTGTATGGATGATGTACCAATGCTTTTTTCCAGGGTTTTAATGGTGAATTTGATCTCTTCATGGATTCTCTCTTCCATGGATTTCTTTCCTAGACCAAAGTTTTTCAGAGTCATCAGAGCAAAACGACGATGGTCCCTCCAAAAGGAGCCGTAATCGGCCATAATCATTCCTGAAACAAGAAGAGCAAAAACAAAATCAGTGTCCGTGGATGTACAGAACCAAGACCAAAAGTCCAGTGAACTGACACAAGAAAAGAATCAAATTGTTGTAAATGTTTTATGACAAACACACATTTGTAAAAACTCTAATGGCATTTTTTGCAGTTAAAGGAAGGATTTTAAAAGGAATCAGGATTAGGAAAACTTCACATTTGAACTTTACAAACATTTGAAATCATCCCTGAATCAGAAAACTGCATTTGGTATATATGTTTTTTTAGAAATTACGGCACATAATTTTTGTTTAGAGAGACACAAACGGACATCTCCATCTATTTTATAGTATCTTGATTCCTGAAGAGCTGTAAGGAACTGGTGTCTGTTTCAGGACAAACCAGCAGTCCATCACAGATACAAACAACCATTCACACACACTCAAGTCTTGGGATGATTTAAGGCACCTGCTAACCTAACCTGTATGCTTTAGGACTGCAGGAGAAAACCAAAGTACCTGGAATAAACCAACATGTGCATGCAGAAAAGACCAGTCAAGAGTCAAAACAAGGATCTTCTTGCAGAGAGGCAACTTCCAACCTGCTGCTCCACCGTGCAGTTGATTTGAGAGACATACCTTTACTCTGCGTTAGGTCGTTGACAAAAAGATTTTGGGGTCGTCCAGCAAAATCAGTGGCCTTGACCACCATTGCTTCTTTCATGGTCTTGAACCCATTGATGACCACAGCAGGTTTGGACCCGATGAACAGACTGTAGACATATCCATAAGACTGTCTCAGCTGCAAGGAAACAAAAAGTTCAAATTATATATGGCTACGATACCGTGGGACTCCTTTGTCCTGTAGCAAACCAATTTGGAGTTTGACAAACTGCATTAAACCACAAATGTAGAGATTCCAAGAACTGTAACATCAAAAAGAGAAACACAAGTAGCTGAAACCTGGGATCAGCTGGATCCCTGTAGCTCCAACTGATCCCAGGAACAACCTCAGAGATCTTTGTCCAGAAGAGCACAGTCTTGGAAACAGTTAAAGATACTGAACAGAACCGTAAAGATCCCAGGCCTCTGGTGGAGGAAAGAATCAGGAAAAGAATCCAAGAGAAACTCATTTTTGTGTTCAACAAAGTCCATGCTCAATAATCCAGATATAAAATCCAACATTTTTCAGTCAGGTCATCTGGACAGATTATTTTTTTGTGTTGAAATGTTTCGCCTTCGATCTTTTTTGTGTTGTTCACTTTCAGACTTCAAGAGAAGAAATCTTCAAAAAACATGGAAACATTTACTTATAGCTACATTTTACTATCCAAACATTTCCAGAACTCTTCATAACCAGAGAAACTGAATTTCATGTGAAAACTCAAACTGAATGATTTAGCAGAATAATTTTGCTGAAAGCTGCTGAAAAAGTTAAATCTTACTTGAAACGCACCATTCATTCAATCTTTATTTATACAAGTTAGTCGCATTGAGCCTCAAGGACTCATTTACAAGAGAGACCTGTTTTTTTTTTTTTTTTAACAAAGAATGATGACAACAGTGGACAACAAAAACAACATTAGACAATCGTAAAAGAAAGCAGTAAATGGAGAAGAATAAATGAAAGGAAAATGAAAGAAATGGGTAACATGCCTGCATTCACCAAAAGCTGTATCATGTGAAATACCATTTCACCAATAGCAGAAAAGTAGAAAGAAGAAGCTGAACAAAGCAAAACAGCTAAAATGCTAAAAAAAAGGTAATTGAAAGTAGGTGAAAAAAGCTGAATTTACCAATAATAAGGTAAAAGAAACAAATACATGCTAGAATTAGCTAAAACAAAGCGATGAAAGGAGTGTAAAAAGCCTGAATTAGCAGGAAAAAGCCAAAAGGAACTCAACAAAAAATAAAATAAAAAGAATGTTAACAGTGCACAAAACAGCTATTATGAGCAGAAAATTGTCTGAAAAGGAGAAAAAAAACACAGACACAAAAATTGATTTATACAAAAAGGCTGAAATCAACTAAAAAGATAAATTTTACAGGAAAAAAAGTTTAACGTAGCTGAGAAAAAAATAAAAAAGATTAAGTAACATAAAGAAGCTAAAAGGAGCTTAAATAGTTGCCAGAAGCAGAAAACAGTAAAGTTAACAGAAAGAAGCTGAAAAAGCAGAACCACAGCAACAGCTGAAATGAGCAGTAAAGGTTGTAAACAGCGTGAAGGACGTGAAGAGGACTCCACTCATTTCAAAGAAAAAAACATGGCTGACAACTCTAAATATTTCAGAAAGGAAAAATTGCACCAATACTAAAAGTCAGAGCAGGAATGTCCTGAATGAACCGGACATTTTAATTTATGAATTGTTGAAAAAGAGCAAAAATTGCAGAATGAGTTACGTGCTGAAAAAAACGTACATAAGATATATAAGATATTTATAGGTCTTAAGATTATAATATTGATATATTTAGATATATAATATGATCATATTTGGATTTTGAATAGTAACTTTACTCCTATTTTTAAACAGAAAGTGCAGGAATCACCAGCAGAGTAGTTTTTAGATGAGCAAGACTTGTGCCCTGAACTCCATATTGAGTTTTAGTGTTTATCTTTTGAAAACCTACAAGATAACCAAGGCAACAAAAAGAAAGAAAACCCTTAACCAGACAACTTCTCTTTTCCACTAGTTTTTGTTGTGAAAATGAACTCAGCTTGTGATGTAAAAAGATTAGCGACAGTTGTGGAGACATTATTTTATGGAGCATAAAACATTGTTTTGCATTTATGTCAAACAAACAGCAGCATGCCTCACATCTGCACAGCTGAAAGTTTTCTTTTAGTTGTTTTTATATAGATTTGTTCTTTAAAATACTGACTCATCAACACTAAAAGATAAAGTCAGCTGTTTGAGCTGTAAATACTTGATGGGCAAAGTTCATATTTTCAGGCAGTGAACTCTGGTTTTGGCAAAATTTACAATGTTAAAGAAGTACAACATATAACCCCTCTGTTATTTCTTATTTAAAATTTAAAGTAAAAAATCAGCAGCATTTGTTGCAGCACTCTTTTTACCTTCTCAAAGTCCTTTAAGGGGTTCTTTGACGTTAGGTGTAAAAGGTTACCCAGTATCGGCAGGGCGGGGGGTCCTGGTGGGAAGTTTTGGGGTCTCCGAGGTTTAAGTTGAAGGAGGATGAAGCAAACACAGAACCACAGCAGAACTACGTAGACCATCATGGTTTGGACTGGACTGCACCGAGGAGAGAAGCCGACTGATCTTCAGCTCAGCTCTCAGCTCCTGTACTTTGATTCTTCTCATCGTGGTGCGTGAGAAGGTCAAATAAATTAATATAGAGAACATCAAGAAGCAAGATATCATTGTGTAGCAATGATTGGTC